GGCACATCTGTGCCAGGGCTCGTGCCCCTCTCCATGACGCGGGGATGGATGTGTATCCGTGAGTGTGCACATGAATGTACACACGCGTGTGTGTGTACATTCATGTGCACACTCACGGATACACATCCATCCCCGCGTCATGGAGAGGGGCACGAGCCCTGGCACAGATGTGCCCATGCACACACACACAGATGGGCACACAGCCGCATCTGCTCTATGTACACTCATACTCATAGAGGTGCAGCAGAGACACACTGGCATCCCCGGGACTGAGGAGATGTAACAGGAGGTTTAATCTGCACATGAGGAGGCTGAAGGATAACCTTATTATGCCTTACAACTCTCTGAAAGGAGGGTAACCAGGTGGGGGCACAGTATTTTCTCCCAGGCAAACAGCAAAAGGACAAGGAGACATAGTCTTAGGAGAGACTTCAGGAAGAATTTCTTCACAGAAAGGGTGATTAGACATTGGAATGGGCTGCCCAGAGAGGCAGTGGAGTCACCGTCCCTAGAGGTGTTTAAGGAAAGACTAGATGTGACACTTAATGACATGATGTAGTTGGCAAGGTGGTAATCAGTCATAGATTTGACTTGATGACCTCAGAGGTCTTTTCCAGCCTAACCAATTTTGTAATCTGCACAACTCAGTGCTCATGGGCAGCTATGTGTGTTTCCCCTGTGCTGCTCAGGTGGTCCCAGCCTAGGACCTGCATAGGTATCCCAGCTCCTCCAGTCCCAGCACAATATTGCTGCAGCGCCTGGGGTTCTATGGGGAAATTAACTTCAGCTTCACCCAACACATACATTGCCTGAAAGAGACCAACACCAGATAGATGCTATGCATTTACCAAAAACCAGCCTTTACTGCAAGGTAAACTTGCAGACTACCAGACTACCCAACTGTCTAATTTTCTAAATTTCTCATTTTTAGGACTGCAGCATTGCTGTTCTCCACTAAAGATGGTCCTTGACCTGAACACGGGCTAGCAGAGCCCTCTCTGCTTACAGCCACTGAAGAGGAGCTGCAGGCAGCTCACTTCAGCCCCTTCCCAATGGCTGTCCTGGCCTTATCTCTGGCTCCCACACACAGATTTTCCCCTCAGCAGGGAGTTATTTGCCACGAACAGGTCTCCCTTGCTACCTTCATCTGTCTTCCTCCTCTGTCCTTAAGAGGATACTCCCCAGACACTCATTTCTGCCTTCTTATGGCAGAGGTTTTTAGCCCTACTCTAGCAGTGTGCTGTGTTTCTCCTTGTCCTGCTAAGATTAATTATTCACAGTCCTTTGCTTGAAAACTTTTTCCCTCACAGCTCAGCCAGGTGCTGGGATATTCATCAGCCTGGGTGATATGAAGGAGCAAGATCACTAGGGAATGAACCCAAGACGATGCTGAATATGTTTGTTCAGGGACCCCTTAAATGCTTGTTGTGGAGGCCCTGGCTGCACTCTCAGGAGAAACACTGATAGCAAGGGGTGGTCTGTCTCACTGGATAGGGGTGTGGTAACCTCCAGGGTTATATTTCTATCCTGATTTTTAATTCAGACTAAGCTGGTGTTGAGGGAGAGATGCTGAGACAGGTGGTATACTCTGTCCCTTGTTCCCTGCTCTATCTTCTGACTGGCTCTGTATGGACATATGATGATTCAATGGGATTAGATTTTGGGGTTGTGTTGGGCTTTTTCCTGTGCTGCTCCTCCAAGCTTACCCTGACAAGGAGAGACTCACATTAGGAGAAGAAGCATCTCGGCAGTTTACCCTTCTGTAGCTTATACAACCTGCAGCTGTAGGAGCATTAAGTGCTGCTGCTGCTGAAGGCACAAATGAACTAAACTGCCTTTGGCCTAGTTCTCCCACTGCCTGGTGATGCCAAACACATCCTGCTGGTCCTGACAGCTCCTGTCATCCAGATGAATCTCTCTGCCTGCTTTGTTTCACACCAGGGTTTGACCTTAAACACCAGTAAAAGATCAAGATCACCTGTCCAGATATAGGTTATGCACTGTCTGACCATGGTGGGGTCATGGTCTGGCCAGAACTGCCAGGCCATCGTGAGGATGAGATCTGGGCAGCCCTGTCTGTAGCTCTCCCCTGGCTTTCCTGCTGCCTGCTGGATGGAGAGTGATGTGGTAAATCATCTGTCACTTAGCAACGCTGCTGGCTGGGGAGCAGCAGCAGGTTTTGGTGCAGGAGTGATGCCTGCAAGGCTGTGCAGTGGTTATTTCACGTTTTTTCCCCCCAGTATTTTCTTTTACTTGCTGCTTTTCCTGAACATGTGGGTTCAGACAACAGCCCCAGCTGCAGGAGCCAGATGCTTTCTGCCAGCCCTCCCTGTGATCGTTGTGCAGCACTAGAGCACCCAGCGACTCCCAGCAGATTTGAGGTCCAACCCAGCCCATGGTGGCAAGCAGCCATCTTCCACCTGCAGAACTGTTACAGCAGGGCACAGAGAGGACAGAAGGATGATTAGCTGGGGTTTATTCTCTGAGGAAGAAAGCAGCATGGAGAAACACAGGGATCTGCCTACACAGGCAGCTCATATCAGCACTGCAAAATCGTTGCCAGTGGGACTCGAGACAGGTCAAGCACACCTGAAACATGGCCTGTGGCTCACACCAAGGGTATTTCTGCACATGGATTTGTCCAGCTCTTCACCATCTGCACAGACAGGCCCTCAGAGCAGGGGACCATGCAGCAGAAGGCAGGAAGATCATGGCTGTGTTCACTGGGGTGAGGGATGGGGACCCTTAGTTCTCCCAGGACTGCCTCTCACCTTGTCCCTCATCTTGGGCTAGGGAGGAGGAAGAGAAACCTTCCAGCTTTAGGCTTTTAAGCTGACAGTCTGCAAACTCTTTGAAAGAACCCAAACCTATCAGAGAAAAGGACAATTAAAAGGGCTTAAACCATTTGTGAATCCATCCTGGCACATTCTGGAGCCTTTTCTGACAAGGGCTAAGAAGCAGATTCAGTTCTGCTCCACATATGCCAGCCCTATGACTCTAAGAAATTTTTGTAATGCAACAATGCACTTTAAAAGAAAGAAAGAAAAAAAAAAAAAAAAAAAAAAAGGGATCTTGAATAAGGGAGTTGATCACTTGGTGGCCCAGTTGGATTAAAACCCCTGGTTCCCACAAAAGCAGGTTTTAAATTTACACCAGTTTCTGAGATACAATCTGAATTTATCTAGCCAAAGCTCAGGCTTGCAAACCTAGCCCATGGGAGGGAAAGGATTTGCAAATATAAGGAAGCCAGACTGAACTGGCAGATTGAGGCAGGCTAGATAGGCCAAGCTGAACTATGTGCTCATGGAACGGCATAGGAAAATAAATGGCAGCACTCGGCAGTAGCAGCTATGGTGGGAGCCCAGTTGATATGGAGGGAGCTGCCAAACCCATGGCAACCAGGTCTGAGGCCACATTGCATGGGACAGCCTGGCTCAAAGGGAGAAATCTTCCATTTTGGATGACCCGTTGTAGGAGGAGACATTCAAACAAGGAAGGCTGAAAAGCCTTCAGTGAAAGACATGACTTATAACTGAGGTTTGAAAATTTATGAGTAGCCTGGGGAGCTCTTCTCAGGGCTTGGTTCATCATGCACTGAGAGAAGACCACCAAAGGGTGCCATGAGATAAAGCCGGGTATCTATCAAGGTTGAGGACTTAACACCCTGGTTGTGGCCTCTGAACTGACCCCAAGTGCTGTGCAGTGTTTCTGGGGCACTGGACTGACATTTGAGGCAATCTCCTGGGGAAGGTCAGTCTGGGAACCAATTTCTCTCTTGCCCACATTCAGTAAGACCAGCTGAACACTGGCCACAGATGCAATTAGCCTGGCAGCCTATTTAAAGTCTCTGTTTCTGAGGTTACAGCTTGATTTGATCTGCACTGGCAGGATTGTAGCTGGGCTCCTTGGATGGGGAGTGAAACTGAGGCACGCAGCATGGATCCACAGGAATGGCTGCTTGCTCTCTCCCTTCCAAAAGTGAGTTAGCTTTTAGTTAGTGTAAAAGGATACTTCTGCCCTGAATGCACATCACTTAATCTCAAAAAAATAAAAGGAAATCCATTACTTTACAAATTACAAAGATTGGGATAAATTTCTCTAAGAAATGAGGCCTACTTTATAATTTTTTCTTCTGGGTGATATTTGCAAGGGAATAATGAAGGCTTAACAAAACCCTACACAGTTGAAATTCCTGAAGTTTTGCATACAGACTATATTTGGGGGAAAGAGACAATTATTAGGGTAAAATGAGGCTTTTGTCACTAACAATTCAAAATCTAAGTAGGATAATCTGGGATGACAACAAATACACTTTAATTATGATAACATAATTACTGATCAGGAAGAATAAAGGACAAAATTAGGATTGTTTAGGTATCTTCATTCTTTGTTTCTTCCTTCAAATGCTGTTGAGTGCTAATTTCCCACATCACAACATTCAGATTGAAATAAACATCAAACCTACAGAGAATTTGATGTTTCATCATTCAGGTGTTGAGTTGTTCACTCATCTTTCCTTGATCACAGGTTTTCATCCCAAGCAGCAGAAGAATGTGATGTCTCAAAGACACAAAAGCCGAAGTTTGGCACAGAGACAGAGGCCTGTCCAGTGCCACATCTGTGCATGAAAACAGGGGCAGAATATCTGCACACAAAGGGGAGACTTTGGACTCAGCGAGTCTTACAAGACAATTAAAGATGCTGATGTTAATGAAGAAAGATGGAAGCAGGTTCCACATGGTCCACCTCTCCATTGCTGTTTTAAATGACCTTGACAAAATTTCTTCTGTTCCCCTATCTATTAAGTGGGGGGTGGTCTTTGCTTACCTCTTAGAGCATGTTTTGAGGATAAACACATCCAAGGTCTGTGAAATGCTGAGCTGGTACTGTGACAGAGGCAGTCGAAGATGTTAAATGGATTCACTTTTGGAATTACAAGGCTTTCCCTCTGGAGAGCAGAGCAGCTTCACTCCTGGGCATTTTTGCTGCATTGTGGCTGAGGGCTGGGTTTTTGCAATGGGTTCACAGTGTCTGCGGTCTACCCTCCTTCTCTGAGGACCGGTGGTGGTTTGGCATTTAGGGAAGGAAGTGGGAAACACTCACGGAAGTGATTTCTCTGGGAGCTGCTGGGAACTTCCTCTGGGTCTGAGACAGGCCAATGGCCGGCCAGTTCTGAGAACTGTCAGCATCTTGCACCATTGAAAATTAGGCCCACCTCTGTGAATACCACCTTTTAAAAACCACACGCCCGGGAACTTCTGTTTCTTAGCTTCTGGCCTTGAACAGGTAACTAGGGGCCGGCTGCCCGCCTGGCCCGCGCGGCCTGCTGCGGTGCTGGCCCTCCCGGGAAGTCTGCCGGGTCCTGTTCTGGTCCTCTTCTGCTAGGGCCCCTTCCCAGGGGGCCGAGCCCTTCCCGGGGAGCTCACCGAGCCCTTTGCAGTGGCACCGCCGGGCCAGGCCGGTCCCTGGCTCGGCTGAAATTCTGCTGCGGCTGAGTTTCACCAGAAACTGCCGGGCAGGGGGAGGGGAAGCTATCGACCGTGTTGCCTTTGAGTGTTAGCCTGGTTGCTGAGATCCTAGCTGTCCTTCCCCAGTGCAGCCACCGAAAATCCTCCGTAAATAGTCCCTGGCAGAGACCACTTGACCATCCACAGGCCCGGCAATATTTAACCCTTTCACTACACAGATGAGACCTGCAGACCATGTCCCTCTCTCCAGGTTAAAAAAGGACAGAGTGATGACACATAGAAAGACAACATGAAGACGTGTTGGTCCGTAAAGAAACAGTCAAGCCCCAGATGAAAGAGGGATAAGGAGATGCTGGATGGGGCTGAAATATTCTTTTGATAGGGCTATGGAGATGATCAATGAATCTCCTTTAATTAATGAAAGAGTCCTGGGGGATGAAGTGTTGAAACTGTAGATCCGAGCAGAGGTATCCATTGATGAAGTAAGCAGATGTTGAAGTAGCTGTGATCCCATGAGATGCTTTGAATAGAGAGAGACAGAGAGATGAGAGCTGATGAAGACCCTTTGCCCCCAGGGAGAAAAGAAGAAAACCTCTGTTCCCAGAGATGATCACAGAGACAGATGGAGAGAACCTTTGTCTTTGAATAACTCATCCTTTAAATAAAACCCCCTGACTTCATAGCCCATTGACACACCTCTAGGAGGGCTGTGAAAATGGGAGGAAATGTCACAATGGTAGAATTTTTGCCCGGGTGGCTGCTATTCGTAGAAATGAAAAGCCATGAGGAAACTGTTTCTTGTGGAGAAGTCTCCATGGCATGGCAAGAGAAAACTCATCTCCCTACAAGGACTGATGAAAAGACTATTGTATAGTTGGTACTGTTTTAACATCCCAGGTTTTGTTTCTACATTGTCAGTTGGGAAAGGAAGAAATTGGGTAGGGGGAGGAAAGGTTTCTGGTGGTTTTATTCTGGTTTCTTATTCTTGTAGTCCTGTTAATAAAGTTTCTTTACTCCTTTTAAGTTTTGAGCCTGGTTTGCCCTTCTCCTAATCCATATCTCACAGCAAGAAATTATTAAGTACCCTGGTGATTTTAGCTAGCACTAAAACCTACCACAGGACCCAGTTCTTTCCCATGCTGTGATATTAATAAAATTATAAACTACAGTTATTGACCCATAGATAACAAAGATGATAATACAAGTTGACCTCTATGAGAAATCTATTTCTTTTATCACAAATCTCTTGGAACAAAACTAAGGGGAGATTGACTTCGGGATCCCCCTTAAATAGAAGGAAATTATCCCCTTGCTGTGTGCAACAAAAGGTTTGAATTAGAATTTCATCAGAAATAGAGCAGAGCAATCAGCAGCAATGTCAAGCCCTCAAAAATGTTATGTGGGACAATCTGACAACAAATCTGAAACTGTGAAAGAGCCTTCTGAGAGTCAAGAAGAGAAGGTGTGGGAGAGAAACTCATGAACACACTGTTCTAGTGGACAGATTGATTTCAAAATTATAATAATTCGGAGGGTGGGGGTCTACATTCTTTCATCCCAAGGGAAGCTTCTGCTCTCCCTAGCTGACACCTGTCTTCTAGAACCAAGACACCCCTCTCCATCTTTTCTGTTGGCCCCTTCAGGTACTGGAAGGCCACAATCAGGTGCAAGATGCCCTGAGCATGCTGGATCAGGAGCAGAAGGATAAAGCTCCAAATCACACAGACAGTGTGAATGGTCTGGGGAGAGTCCTGGACAATGTGCCCTGAGAGATGCAGTTTCTAAGAGCTGCATTTGTACATTGAACCAGGACATAAAATCCCAGAGTAAAAATTCAACCTGGTTTAGCACAGGACAGGCTCCAGGCAGGCAGGAGTAGCCCCAGTTTGCCCAGTGCTGAACCAGTTTGCTCCTGCTCTTCAGCTGAGAGGCTGGAAGGATGGAGCTGAGCCCCAGGCCTGCTACAGGACCTGCCTGAGGGGCTGCACAGGATTCCATGGGAGGTTTGCCCATGGCTTGCTTCCCAGCCCTGGTTGCACTGAAACCAGGAAAACCATTCTGCAGCCTTGCAAGGCTCCTATTTGAACACTTGGGGCCCTGAAAATTATTTTCTTAAACACATTCCTTTTTTCAACCTGAAAAAATGCAGGGGATTTATTTTTGAAACATGATCTTTCATTTTGTCCTAAGGTCACTTACAGACTCAAATGACAACTTGTATTAGCCACCCACCTTGTGCTCATCTGATCCCAAATTTTCCTCTGCCTCATTTCTTCAGGCTGGCTCATGTGCTTGAATGGACACTGAACTCAGTGGGATTTTTCCTGCCATAAAAAGACAAATTGGAGTACAAAACAAGTCACCATGTTGACACAGGAGGTGGGACCACATGGTATAAATACTGGAAAAACTGAAAATACTGGAAAAAAAATATTGAGCTGTGATAGAATGTTGTACCCAGGTGCAAGGTCACATGAGCCTGATGTGCCCATGTCCTGACTCCACGCTGAGGTGACCCTACCTGGAGCACTATGTCCAGCTCCAGAGCCCCCAGCACAAGAAGGACATGGAGCTGTTGGAGCAAGTCCCAGACAAGGCTACCAAGATGATGAGAGGGATGGACCAGATTTGTTATGAGGAAAGGCTGGGAGAATTGGGGTTGTTGAGCCTGGAGAAAATAAGCTTCAGTGTGACCTTGCAGTACCTGAGGGGAGCCTACATCAAAGATGGAGAGAGAATATTTAAAAGGGATGGAGTGACAGACAAGGGAGAATGGCTTCCCACTGCCTGAGGGCAGGGTTGGATGGGATATTGAGCAGAAATTCCTCCCTGTAAGAGTGGTAAGGCACAGGTTGCCAAGAGCAGCTGTGGCTGCCCCATCCCTGGAAATATTCCAGGCCAGGCTGCACAGAGCTCAGAGCAATCTGGTCTAGTGGAAAGTGTCTAATGGAAGGGGGCTTAAAAAGAGATAATCTTCAATGTCTGTTCCAACCCAGATGAGACACATTTGGGACATTTTGAAGTGATCCTTGGGGCCAGGCACCCAAGCTGGCAAACCCTGGGAATCCCCAGTGTGGCAAGCAGGCAGGGAACAGGAGGTCTGGTTTGTGACTCCCTCTTATTTTCTTCTCTTGCCTAAGGATTGAGACACCATCTCTGGAGGTGTTCAAGAGGTATCTGGATGTGGCACTGGGTGACGTGTTTAGTGGTATAGGGGTTACCATGGCAGTGCTGGGTTGACGGTTGAACTTGATCCTAAAAGTCTCTTCTAACCTTCATGCTTCTATTCTATAATTGCAAAATGAGTGTGATTCCCATTCATGCCTTTATTCCTTACCAACTTATTTTTGCTCACACTCTCTTTGCAATGCTAACTTCAGCTTGTAAGTTATGAAGAATAAGAGTCAGTTAGTGATAATGGCCTTAATAAAAACAAGTTTCCTTTCTTTCCTTTTCCCCCCTCATTTGGTGTGTGCTTTAGCAACAGTGTTGATGACTGACTTGATGACCTTAAGACCTCCAAGGCTGATAGTTCTATGATTCTGTGTGGGAAGTCCAAGCCTACATGCACTTTTTCTGCTGAAACTTTTCTTGTCACAAAAGTGCAAGGCCACTACCACGCTTGCGCTGAGGGCCTGAGCCAGCAGTGTGCCCTTATTGGCCAAGAAGGCAAACAATCCTGGAGTGCATCAGGAAGTGCATTCCTGGTGGTCAGAGAGGTGATCCTGCCCTTCTGCTCAGCCCTAGTGAGGTATATCTAGAGTGCTGTGTCCAGGTCTGGGCTCCTCAGGACAAGAGAGACTTGGAGCTCCTGGAGCAGGTCTAGTGGATGCTGTGCAGGTGAGGAAGGACATGAAACAGCTCTCTCACAAGGAAAAGTTGAAGGATCTGCAGCTGTTTAGCCTTGAGAGGAGGCACAGCTGAGAGGGGCCGTCATCCGTCTCTGTCCCTGTTTGCAGTGAGGGTTCAGAACAGGGACCAGGCTCTGCTCCCTGGGGCCCAGCAATGCCCAACCATGGGCAGAAATGGATGCCTAGGAAATTCCATCTGAATATGATGAACTTCTTTCCTGTGCAATGACCAAGCATTGGAACAGAGACGAGAAAGGGTATGGAGTCTTTCTCACCGGCGATACTCCAGACCTGCCTGGACACAATCCTGTGCCATGTGCTCTGGGATGACCCTGCTTGAGCAGGGAAGTGGGACCGGGTGACCCACTGTAGTCCCTTCCAACCTGCCCTGTTCTGTGTTTCTGTGACTGGGTCTCCCGCCAGCGCCATGGGCCTCTCGGCAAGCCGCCCCTCCGAGAGGGCCGAGAGGGGAAATGTGATAAAGACGGCTGTCGCTGTGCGGGTTCGCGCGGGTCAGGACGCGGATGCAAAGTGCCGGGATGCGCCGAGGTTACCATGGGGACGCCTCACCGCCCCCTCGGTTGCCGTAGCAGTGGGCGGGGGAAGGGTTTGCCGGTGGCGCCGCCGGAAGTGCCGGCGGGGGCGGGGTCCGGCCCGGAAGCGCAGCC